ATCTCCCCCGCCCATAAGAGGGAGCATTGAGAGCGTCTCACTTACCATACTACCACAATTCTTGACGGAGGGCTCAGGTGTCGATGTCATCACAACAATCTCAGATGTTGGGACCACCTTCTATTTTTGTAGTGGTCGCGTGAACTTTAACACACTTGTCCAATTTCTCCAAGATGCGAAGTTTGCGCTCCTTGGTTTTTTCTTACTCTCTATAGCCGACTCAGCCTCATGAACCTTCCTTTTGTTTTGAGTGGCGATAGTGTTGGTCGCGGACAATAGTGATTGCAGGATTAATGTTGTCTTTCCCCCGCCCATAAGAGGGAGCCTTGAGAGCATCTCACTTAGCATACTACCACAATTCTTGATGGAGGGCTTGGGTGCCGATGTCATCACAAAAGTCTCAGATGTTGGGACCACCTTTTGTTTCTGAGTGAGATAAGTGTCAGATTCAGTTCTCTAGGACCCTAAACTGATGTCTTCCACTCGGGTAGGCGTAGATGGCTCCTCGACCGCACTCACCTTTAGGATCAACTTTTTGGCCAATATAGCATATGGTAGACGATGACTCATCTTCTTGTTCGATAGGGCCATTTACCTTTCTATAGAGTCAAAGAAAGTCATGAAAAAATATACAAGACGCAACGTTCAAGCCAAAGAATAACATTTCGAAGAAGTAGGCTACCTACTTTTAAGTCTATAGCCCGAAACTCAAACTTAAGAAGTGTAGATGTGTCGAACATGGTATTGAGTCTCTCAAGCATCATGCAGTGTTCAAATTTATCTTTCTCCAACTCACCTAGTTGCTTGGCAACTTGGAAACAAGGGTTTTCCGTCCAATAGAGGGGAAAATCCTCTACCAAAGTGGGGTTTGACCTAGGAGCTTGGGTTTTAACAAACCGACCTTTAAAATGTGTATACGACGATTGAAACAAGGAAAGGAGTTTCGGTTGGGTACTCCACTAACAGAAACCCAAGAGATCCTCTTGGTTGTCTGATAGTAAAAAAAAATAAAAATAAAAGAACATATTTGATGAAGGAACGATGACGAAATGGGCGGAGAGAAAATCAAATACTTTGATAAAAACCCAAATGTGAGGTGAAGCTGGGCTAGAACAACATTCAATATGGTCAAGACCTCTTCTCAAAAACAACTAAAAGGAAGACGCAAACCTAGTTTAATAAACACAATATCATACTCAAAGAAGAATGGCTCGGGATCCCATTCTTGATCCCTACACACAGGCTCAGCAGGGTCACACGGTTCTAAGATCAAATCCTTCTCATTGACAAAACGGCTTAAGGATGGACTATTTTGAAGATTTTTCAACGATTTTGAAAAAGTATACCCAGATGTTTCATGTAAGATTTCTATCTTAGCCTAGGGATATAACATGGCGTCACTCACCTCCTTAATATCCCTATCAACCATGGTCACTAGCAATCGCACGTATAGACATAAGAAATAACGCAAAACAGAAACAGGGAAAGCACAACACACCTGGGAATCGACAGAAGCATGAGGATGGAGGAAAGTGCAGGAGTAAAGTGACATAGGGATAAAAGAGAACAAAGAGCAATAAATGGGATACAAAAGGGAGGAAATAAAGTATTAAGCGAGGAAGGCGAAGGGACATGGTAAGAGACACATGCATACCATGTGTGTGATGTGAAAGAATGTGACAGTGTCAACAACAGTGTTTGACACAACATCTGACATTTGAGTTGCTCAAGATGAGATTTTGACTAAATACTGAGTGTAACTTGTGTAATGACCGAATGACTACAAGAATAGTTGACTTAGTTAAAGCTTCGGCGTTAACACTTGAGTCTGGTTGGTTGTGTAGTGTCCAGAATGACCCACTTCTCAAATAACTGATATTATAGAGGATAAATACCAAAATATCTCACCTCAGTTATTGTTCCAGGGTTTGTGCCTAATAACCCAAAAGTTGGTACTGGATAATAATCGACTCGAGAGGACCAACCTGAGAGGCCCATAGGGGTCAGATAAAAACAGGTCTAGGGTAGGAAAAACAGATAGAAAAAGAGTGAGACTTCATTGAGTATAACCCTGCTTTTGGAAACAAAATATATATATATATATATAATAATAATAATAATAATAATAATAAATATGGCTAAATACTATTTAGAGTCAATGTAGTTAAAGACATAATGATCCAAAATAACTAGATCAACAATCACTGGACCCATTGAAAAACTCCCCCATCCATTAAACACTTATGAACTTTAAATATCTCATTAGAAACTGCAATATCAAGTAAACACATATGAACAAGGTTGATAATCATCAAGAAGAGGCCCATGTGATGAGATTTTTTAGGTTTTTTGTGAATGTATATATGAGATATATAATATCATAGAGTTTATCTCTCATTGTGTATATCTCCATATTTTATTTATGTATTCATATACTCTCTATGTAGAGAGAGAGTTAAAATATTAAATATTGATAATGTGTCAATCATAACTACCTAAATAAAAAACAATAATATAATATATTTTTCTCTTATTCTAAAAGATAATAAAAATTTCTTAATAACTAATTTAAATAAAAAATAATAAAATGTACATTTGTCTTTACTTTTAATACCTATTTATTTGAATTTGATATTCACCCTTTTACTTTGCTTGTAATTCTTTATTCTTTTTTACTTATAATTCCTATTATCTCTTTCTTATATGGGATCACATCTCCCATTCAATTTCACTTTTTTCATCAATATATTTTTTTCTTTATAAACTTTATCTTCCTTGTTTCTTGTGAAAACCATAGTAGTAACATTTTCAACTTATCTCCCCTATTTCTTGTGGACTCCATGGTAGTAACATTGAACCTTTGATGGATGTTAGAAGGTGGTTCTTCATCTATATCTTCATTCTCCTCCTTGACATACAAGTTTCTTCAAAAAATACCTACATGCTTTTCTTTTATACTTTCATTTATAATTAACTCCTATTTCATTAAATTTAAAGTAAAACTTTTTCCTTTCATGTAAACTTTAAATATTTTCAAGTTATTTGCATCTTTTATTACACAAAGTTTATGTTTAAAAGATAACTTATAACTTTTCTCTAACAATTGTGTAATACTTAACAATTTTTTTGTTAATATTAGGAACATATATGACATTAAAAATTAATATTAAACTTAAATGATTTTTAACTACAATTGTTTCTATACTTTTCATATCCATTTGTTCCCCATTTCTAATTCTCACTTTAGAAATACCATATTTTTTGAACATTTTGAAAGGTTCTCGATCATGAGTCATGTAATTTGTGCAACCACTATTTATAAGTCAACCTATGGATTTGTTAATTGTAAAGCATGTTAATGCAAGGAGGAGCTCCCTTTTTACTTCATCCTATGTAACTTTGACGGTTCTTCTTATTGCAATTTGTATATATTTTCTATATGTCTCAATCGACCATATTTACGACATTTCATATCGGGCCTCCACTAACACTTATGTGGGTGATTATTTTTTTTTACAATACAGACAAATAAAGAAAGACACGTGATTTGCTACCTATGTTATTATTGGTTTGGTGAAAACCTTAGTATGATATAATAAAGTACCTTCAATAATAACATGATCTCCTCTCATCAATCTTCATTGTTCTTGTATTTGTAAAACATGTAGTACTTCTGTCAAAATAATCTTAGACAAATATTTTGTGTTTTCTAACGAAGCAATATATGTTCTATATCTCTATAGCACATTTATCAAAAATTTTTTAACTAGCTTAGATTAAGGAAACTCCTTACCTTAAAATTTTATCTTGGTAACAATACCCAACAATTTGTTTGAGTATATCTTCAATTATCTCAGATTCTTACATCCTTTGTATCTCAAATTACCTTATCAAGTATAGAACTTTCATAAATCGAATATTCTCATTCTCTTCATATTGTTCTTTCAAATAATCTCAAATTTCTTAGGATGACTTTAAGGTCATGATTCCGACAAGAATCATTTGTGAAACATTAGCAAACAGACATGACTTCGTTTTTGTCTTCCTCATTTTTTCTTTCTTTTTGAATTTTTATTTAGCCATTTTGAGATTTTCATCTAGTAGATAAATTATGTAATCTTCTTTCACATCTTCCTATAAATATAGTCTTTTAAGATATGATTGTATTCTCACAACTCATAAGTCATAACAATTTTCACCATCAAAAAGTGAAATAGTAATTCGTGAAAAACTTCCATCTTCTTCTATTTTTTTCGTAAAAATCAAAGCTATGCTATTACGAATTAGAATTTTTAGGATTTTTGTGTATGCGTGTATTTTTAATATATGAGATATTTGATTTGATGAAATTTATCCATCATGTATGTATCTCTATGTTTTATTTATGTAGTTAGGGTTGACGCCCCATTTTGGTCTATCTTGCTTCTAGCTCCTCAAAAACAAGATGAGATAAATTGACTCGTCATAGTCAACACAGACTATAAACCCTAACCTGTCTCACCAAAGGACAAACTAATGGATTAAGGACCAGCCCATTAATATTTTTTTCTTATATAAAAATTTCTATATGTATTTTAAAAAATATATATATATTTAATTATATCAATAACTTTTAAATTTTTATTTATTAACTATTAATTTTATTAGATAAATTAAACAAATTATTATAATTATGCTAAATACCTAATTGTAATTTTTTTTAAAACAAGTCAGCAAATCAACCCGTTCCACCTCACTCTTAGCCCACTAGTTTGCAAACTATAATTACCAAATTATAAGGGACTAACAATTATAATTACCTCACCTTTACCAAATTATAAAGGTGGGGTGAAACAAAATGGACTAACAAATTATAATTACTAAAATGTTTGATAAAATTTAACCATCAGGTCTAACTCGTTTTTACATCATTGAATAATGCAGGGGGAAAAGACAAGATAATGCAATTTGGAAAAAGACAAGATAATGCAATTTTACATTTATTTTAAAGGACCGTATGATTAAACAGACTCGGAAACTGAAGTAGGGGCAGAAGAAGGATTTGAAGCAGGTTCTTGGTACCACTGATTTGCTTCTCGTGTGAGAAAATAGGCATCTGCAATTGGAAAGCATGAAGGTGAGAAATTCACGACAAAACCAAATCCATCATAAGCTTTGCTATCATTCTAAAACAGCCTCATATACTTACTAAAGTATTGATAAAAAATTCGATGTACTCAACATCTTGGTAACAAAGCATTCAATTCATTGTTTGTTACTCATTGAAACAATTTTACTAAAATAACCGCATTTCTCAGTAAATGTGTTACTTTTAAATATTGATGTATATATATATATATATATATATATATATATATATATTATATATATATATATATATATATATATATATATATATATATATATATATATATATATATATATATATATATATATATAGTTTATTTGGAGGAAAAACAGAAAAAACAAATAATGTTACAGGCATGCATGAATTTTCTACCTTTCGGCTAATCATATATTGAAGCTTACCTGATAAGAACACATCTTTGTATTCATCATCATCGTAAACAAATTGTGGAGGATCAGGAGAGCCAATTCCAACAATGGTGCTTCCACTGCATGAGATGTATACAGACAGCATATAAATGATTGTTTCTTTTAAAATCATGACTCCATATCACAACAAAAATAAAGATCAAAACACGCTGGACCACTTAAGAATAATTCAGAAAAAGGAAGGGCAAAACCTAAGTTTACTTTTGTGACAATCTTTGACCCAATTAACTACAACGAAATTGAAGAAAATATAGAATGAAAAAAATTCATTTCTCATGTTTCTTAATGGAGTATATAGGGATAAATATGGAGGAAGATCAAACTGTCTTCCTCAAAACAAGGGCATAAAAGAGGAAACAAAATCTCTACCTACCAAAAAAGCAAAAACCAGAAACTAATAATCATGGAGATTTGGTAACATAACTACCAGATCTCTGTTTATTCTGAAAACAAATCCTTCCAAAACTCTTATTATGGCAGATTTTCCAAATAATTCCTAATAATCATGACACGTTTCCATAGGAATAAATTCAATAATTCAAACTACATGGGTATTTCTAGAAACTTCATTATTCATGAAAAGAGTATACAACTCTGTTTTGCGACAGTAAGAGAGATGCTTGCTTTGTCAACAAACCAGAATTGACTAACAGAGTGAAAGGTAGAAAGAATAACTATTGAATTTGTTATTGGAAAATGATTTTTAACAGAAAACGAAAGAAATATTGTACTTAGAGTTTCGCTTCCACAGAAGACAATTTCAACATATGAAGCACAAACTTAGACACGGAAAATCCAATGGGGATAATACCCAAAATGTAAAACACCAGGACATGAGAAAATGTTATGAAAATTATGTCAGCAGTAAGTTGTTAAAAGTTAGTTGTGTCAGTTAGTTATCAATAGCAATACAGATCTTGTATGAGGGCAGCTTTTGTTAATTCATTCATATTCTTCACTGTAATTGACTCCTCATAGTTGGGTTCCCAAACATTCTTTTAGTTCTTCAAATGTAAGGTGTTCTGTCTAGGAATGAAAGTGTCCCGGTTTCATGTTCGCTATGATAGAGGAGGGTGTATATAAACTACCCTTGGCCTCCACTCCTAAGTGATGTGGGACTCATAAGCGTACCAGAACATAACGTATTCCTAAAACTAGTCAGTTTCACAACAAAAAGCCAAGTAATATTGAATATGAAAACCATGGCAAAAGATCTAGGTTGAAAATAAAGATTTCTATATTCAACTTCTTGCAATAATAATTGACCTAACAAAAATAATTAGAGGAAATGACATCATTCTTCTCTTTTCTCTTTAGCAAAAGTTACAAAACATGAAGAATTAATCAATCTAAAATGGTGTATTCACCTTTGAAAATAGTTAGGAAGCTTTACAATTTTCCAACTGTAATTAGTCTACCAAGAGACATTATTTTTAATATTTTATATTATTCTTATCAAAACCATGACTATCATATATTAAGTGTTTCTACTTGTTTTTTGCTCTACCCTATGCTTGATTAACTTGAAAATTATGCAGCATTTTGTTTTAATAAAAGAAGAAATTCCAGTATGATAGAAGGAAATAAATTACTCTTAGTCTCAATTCTTAAACAATGTCTGATTTATGAATGTATACCACAACATAGCTCTCCAGTCGAGGACTAAGGTGATGATGATTGAAGATCTTGAAGATTTGATGAAGTCAAAGGATTTATGGAATAAGGAAAGATTTGATGAAGTTAGAGGATTTATGGGATAAGAGATGTAGTGTTTAGTGAGTCTGCATCAATATAAGTAAGTATAATCATCTATCCATTTCTACAGCATGAGGTTCTATAATTTGAAAAGAGTAAAAATGCCTCTAAACTTTTTAATCTGTTAAAAATCCTTTTAATCGGTTAATATGCTCTTAAGTCTCGGATTTAACTGATATATTTACAGATTAATCGATTAAAATCAGCTAAAAACACTTCCGACACATTTTTAATTGATGTATTTTCGAAAGTTTAAGTGTAAACATGTTCATTGCGGCTTTAATCGATACATATTCGAATTAATCAATTAAAACCACTTAAAATAAGTGAAAACATGTTTTATCGTAGTTTTAATAAAACCACTTAAAATATGTGTAAATATGTTTTGTCAATATTTTAATCAATTAAAATACGAATTAATCGATTAAAATCACTTAAGGATTTTTGTGAAACTATTTTAATTAATTAAATCGCGTTTTTATCAATTAAAATATTTCCGGAAAGTGTTATAGAACATTTAATCGATTAAATGATATTTTCATCAGCTTAAAACAGTTAGAAACAAGAATTTTTTAATCGATTAAAACATGAATTAACCGATTAATTAAACCAGCTTTGTTAGAAAAATCTCCATATAAACAGATTTGCTTCAACGTTTGAAAAACACATATTTTAGAAATCGTTCAAGCAATCAATAGAGATCTTTTCAAGAAAGAAGTACGCTATTTTCAGTGGGAATTTTTGAAGTTCTTTCTTGAGCCATTTTTTGTATTTTTGCTTGTGAAGAAACTCATTTTGCAGTGGGATTTTTGCATCTACATAATCAGGTTTGATTGTTCTAGTTTCTTCATTCTTTGATTTCTATTTCAATTCTGTATTGGCTTGGTGTCTAGAAGATTGGGCACTGATTCTGCAACTGGAATTTGGTTGCAAGTTGGATTCAAGAACTAAAAATTGGTTCTTGGTGCAGGAAAAAAAACTGAAATTTGGTTCTTGGTGCAGGTTTGGTTCTGCAACTGGAATTTGGTTGCATGTTGAGTTCAAGAACTGGAATTTGGTTGCAAGTTGGTTCAAGAACTGGAATTTGGTTCTTGGTGCAGGTTGGATTGTCTGTAATTTGATTCTGTAAATCAAACTATTCTATCTACTGGAACTCAACTGGAATTTGGTTGAGAACTAGATGCAGCCTGGGGTTTGGGTGAACCAGTATAATTCTTGGTGTTTCTTTTCCTCTTCCATCACTATTTTGCTTGAACTTTATTCAATTCAGTTTGGTTTTTCTGGTTCACTACTTAATCAGATTTCTTAATCTTTGGAATTGTTAATCTGTATCTGTAATCTGTATCCATAAATCTAACATAAGGTATATGAAAGGACTGAAATTCTATTTTTAACCCCCATGCTTAGTCTAGAAACAAGAGTTTCCTGGCCTCAAGTGTACTATGATAACATCGTTAAGGTTAATGGTTAAGTTTTGAGAATATATTTTATTTATAAGAGATATATGATATGAAAGAACTTTTTCATAATATTTTATTCATGTAATCCATATATAAGTAAAAATATAACAAAATATCAAATAATAATAATACTTCAATCTTAATAAATCGAAATAATAATTTAAGATCTTTTTTCTTTTTATCTAAACAATATTTTAAAAAACTAAAATATAATAAAAACCTCCTAATAACTAATTTAAATGAAAGATAATAAATATATATTTCAACCAAAAGCAACACATTTATGGTGTTGTCCTCTTTAGAATCCTAATCCGTTACATTTCTGACCTTAAAAGGCATCTCAACAGGTTAAGGAAAGAGACTATTTATAGACTACTCTTAATTTTGATTAGTAAGCTACGTGGGACTTAAGAGTATATGCCAAAACATTGCTCTCCAATCTAGGACTAAAGGGTAGAAATGGAATGAAACTTTATTTTCAACCCCATGGTGGACGCTAATGTTTAGTCTAAAACCAAGAGTGTCCCAACATCAAATCCGCTATGATAACATTGTTAAGATCAATCACTACATCTAAGGTATTGTCTATTTTGGAGCTCTAGTCTATTACAATTTTATCTTTAAAAAACGTCTTAGTCGAATAATGAAAGTGGATGTCTATAAACTACCCTTAGTCTCAATTGTTAAGCAATGTGGGAGATATGAGTGTATTTTAGAACAACAATAAATGCAATTATTCTCAAAATTGTTCAATCATTATATTTCAAGATCACAAAAAACATATCACCGATTGCACAAACCAAATTTAGCATAAAGGCGTATCAATATATCCACCAATTGTTTGTACAACCATCAATTAGATGATATCATGCTACAATTAAAAGAACTATTTTTTTCAAGGAAAAATAATTCAATGATGTTATACATCAACTTTAGTTAAGAAGAAAGATACAATTTTACAGCAATTTTACAAATTATTTGAACTAATCAGATAACTTGTTATTTGGATCAAGCCAAAGACTGACCTTGAAATCCATCTTCTGGTAGAACATAAAAAGAGTTGAAGTAATTGAAATCCATCTTAAACTCAAAGTTTAAGACTTGGTTACAGCAAAGAAGAAGGCCAAAAATTGGAATGACACAATTTACGAAAACAATTTGGCACCGATGGATAGTGGACCCACCAGGAAGACACATGTTAAGGTTTAGTCTCTGGATACTATATTAAAGTAATGGTAGAGACATATGAATAAAACCTCTGTGTGTATTACGCACATTAGAGGAACAAATAAATATCGATGTCATGATACAAAAAAAGATGGGTTTGGGGTCATATATTTAGCTATTTCTAACAGTTTGGTTTTCATTTTTTCTCTGATTTTAGTTCTGCTTTTGGATTCCCCATCACTTCAGACTCCATATCGTATTAGTCCCCATTTAAGTTTTAATAATCTCTTTCCACAATGCTACTTCTGTAAACTTCATCGTTCGATCTCAACTCTCATTGTTTATACTGTTAATATCTATAAAACTATTATCTGAGTAACACTTTGGGGTCCTGCATTTGCACAAAACTTTTCTGCATGCCTCTGCAACATCATTAATCACAAGTGTCTTCATACAGGGTAAGGTAATTTAAACAACATTAGCATTATATATCAGGTTAGTAGTATGAAATTTGGAGAAAGTTTAGTCCTGCATTGCCAAGCACGTGTAGAAACATTCACACTAAGAAACGGAGACACTACGAATATGGATATTATAATATATAAATATATACCAACAAAGGTTTGGGCACAGTGATAAGTGAACTGCGCTCCAGGAGAGGATGATAGTTAAGAGTCATGGAAACAATACTTATGGAGAGTGTCTAACTGCATCTCTCTGTGGCAGAAGGGAAGCTCACACCCAAAGGGTTTGGGGAAACCTTAGAAAATGAACACACAAACACAATATGTTTGTGCCTGGGAGGTCTAGCAAGTGTATATGACTTTCAAATAAATGCCAGTCTAGATATTAAAGAATAATAGGTTTTCCAGCGTTTTCACCTTCCTGACATAAAAACAGCATCATATTCTCCACGACCAGCTGCACTAATTCGCTGCTTCAATCTTTTGAGAGAAGGGAGAACTTCAAATGCAGGAGGTTCTACAAATTAAAAAAAGGAAATAAAAAGAAAATTAAAGTCGAATGAAAATGTCAAATGGATCAGAAATGTACCAACTTCGATTAGTATTCTGATGCTAGTACATGTGGATGAGGATCAAATATAATTATGTCAGTAGGATTGATTTGCAACATATTAAGGGACACAGTTGATATTTCAGTAAGTTGTACATACATACAAAGCATAATGATAATAGAATAGTAGAATCTCAGTTCTGCTATTACCTTCACCCTAAAAACTTCATAGAATTATGTGGAATGTGCATTTTAACAAGATTAAAACAGCCAAAGTGAGAAATATGCAGCTAGAATCATACCTAAATCATTAATACAAACATCTTGTGAGATACCAATCTTTGAGATCTTCTCCAGCAATGTTAAAGAATCAACATTACTAGTCTGGTCCAATCGCAAACGCTGTATCATTGGAAGTTGTTAAAATTTAGACTGTAAAAGGGGGAAAGGGGGAAGTCTGCTTCTTTAGTACTCGAAAAAATCAAATACCTTGTATACTTCTGCGGTTGAACATGCTTGTGGGGGCTTTATGAGAACCATTGGAACATCCAGAGATACTGGTGGAGGAATATTCTGAACAACCTGACCAAGTGAAATATAAAATCTTGAATAAATATAATCGTTGGGAAATCATATTGAACATAGGTTTAGCTTCCTGTAAAAGGTTAAAAGGGTTATAACTGTGTTGAGTTCTTCTTAAGTCATAGCCAAACAGAATAGTTAAAAAATTCCCTTCAGATTTCAATATTTTAGGAACAGACAAAGCCCTTCCCATCCGTGACAAAATTATCTGATGGAGGACTGTACTAAATTATTGAAGGTTTTCGAAAAAAAGATCAATATAGGTGATCTGAACTAACAATGGTAAATGTTGGGTCCACTTGGTCATATTATATATAATAATATCACTTGATCACATTTAATTGGTAGAGAATGACTATCAAAGTTTCGTACCATGACTCTTTAAGTCTCTTCACAACTATAGCCACTCATAAGAATTTTAAGATATTATCAATCGGTGCAATACATTGTGAATCAACACAGCAAGATATAAAAATAAATAAGTAAGAATCTTGCGGTTTTTCTCAAATCTGACTTTGAGAAAGGAAGGTACCTAATTTTTGGACTAACCTCTCCTCGACCAGTGCAATAGGCTGCTCCCTGAGAGAAAAAGAAGGGAATATCTGATCCAATCTCACTTGACCATTCTTGGAGTTCATTCTCCGAGGCAAGAGAACCACTGAATTGATTTGCTGCCCATAGTGCAGTTGCAGCATTGCTACTTCCACCACCAAGCCCTGCCCCAGTAGGCACCCGTTTATCCAGATGAATCTTGAATACACATTGTGGTAAGTTGAGTTTAGATTAAAGGCAAAGCATGCAATTTTTCATTAAATTTAATAAAAAATATGAAGAAAATAAACATCGTTACTTCGTACCCAAAAGAACTTGTCACTGCCAGTCTTCTTCCTATAAAGATTAAGCGCCTTAATAATCTGTTAAAACAGAATTTCCACATAACATTCTCTGAAGTTTGAACAAATAAATGACCAGCAGAAGAGAAGAATGAGAAGGGAAGCAGTAGTACCAGATTTCTATCATCAAGGGGCACCCCAGACACATTGGTTGTCAGGCTATCCTTGGTTTTTGAAGGTGACAAAGAGAACTTAATTATGTCACCCAGACTTATCACCTGAAGACTCAAAAAATGCAAGTAAGAAATGATTAAGAATGCATAAACCATATTAAAAGGTAGATGCAATAAAAGAGCATTGAAGTAGTTGCCAAATTGTGATAACAACTTACATGAAAAAGGGATGCCAAGTCATGATACCCATCTTCCCTCTTGTTTGTTATTCTCAAGAAAACATTTATCTGCAGAAGAAAGGTTGACCATTTCAATACGAAACAAACAAATTTGGGTTGCTCTAAGCAAAAGCACGGGGGAAGGTGGATTACCTTGCAAGGAGAGAACAAAGTAAGCCTTGAAAGGGGAGTTTCCTTGTCCACTTCATCAGCCAACTTGTTAATCCTTCCTTCGGGGTCATACACAATCTAATCTCACCAACAAAAAATAACAAAATTTAAAACCATTTATTAAAAAGCAAAATTCAAACTTTATCCCTGAAACAAATGCCATTTAACACAAACAACCACACTGAAACTTCGATCCAAAGCATAGCACATCAAAACAATTCATACTTTATCGCTAAACAAATGTAATTCTACATAGCCAACAATACTGAAACTTCAATCATTCCAAAGCATAACAAAAAAAACAAGAGGGGTGCGAAATATGTAACCTCTACTTGTTTCCTGGAAGTGTTGGAATCAGAAACCATGGCTCTGACCAAATGGGGTCTCTGAAACCGAAGCTTGGAATGAAAATTGGATGACCCATTTGGTCTGAATTGAGCAAAATGGCTACTTCTGAAGGAATTTTGGGAAGTGGGGAAGACATAGCTATTGCAAAGAAGGTGAGACGAAGCCATGGGTAGGTGAAAGATTGGAAATTCAATTCAGCTGCAGATTGGGTACCTAGAAAAAATGTGTTCTACGTTATGTGCTTCTTGTTCGTTTATTCCTCGACCAAACCTGGTCAAATTCAATTGTGCCGGTAGAAAAAAAAAGTCTTAGTAAGATTTTAAGACTGTTTTAAAACTCCAATTCAAACGGTCAAAGCTGACAAATCACTTCTTTAGATTTTTTTATTTTTTTTTTTCAGAGTCTGACTAGCAGAGCTGGCTTTAATACTCATAGGTAACTAATTAGAGAAGCACTAAATTTGTTTAGTTAAATATATATATATATATATATATATATATATATATATATATATAATAGTTTTTTAAAATTGTAATGAAAACTAAAACAATTACAAGTAGAATAATAATTAATCAACAAATTAATGATTGATGATTTTCTCCTACTAAACCTATAATTTTGTAAAATGAACAGATGATAATGCATAATAATTTTTTACCGTTGAACTAAGAAATGGTACAAGAAACAAAACAATTCTAAATAAAATAATAATGAGTCAAGATTTCTATTTGAATCTATTAAAGGTTAACATAAATAAGAATTTTTTAAGTTTTTTTTCTATAATATTTTTTTGTATGATTTATTTTTCTCGTATTAACTCTCAAAATTTTATATTTAATAAAATGTAGAAATAAAAGAAATGTTTACTTAAAAATTTAAAATGTCAATCAAATTAGAAAAAAGTTAAGCAGAACACAAAAAGTACAAATTCAATATCCCATTATTTTATATTTATTTCCACGTATTTAAAATAAAAATTTAACTATATTTTAGTCCTAAATTTTGAATTTTTTTTATTTTTCAAATCAAGAAAAAAATATTTTAATTTTCAAATTTAATGAATAGGTTGTTTATTTTTAATTTTAAGAGTTTAATTAAATTTAAAATTAACTCCGAACTTCGCGTGGGTAAGTACTGCCACCCCACATGAGAATCCTACCCATCCCGCCTGCTTCTCTTTTTCTGCAATCGCTGCTGCACCTGATACGCTTCTACTTCTTCTTTATTAGATTACACTATTTATCTAAATAAATTTAAATATTCTTTAAAAAGTATTTTAAAAAAAATGATGAATCAATCATATATATATATATATATATATATATATATATATATAATACATTTCAAAAAAAAAAATTACTCAATTAGACTTATCAAAGAAAACTTGTTTAATATTGATATGTGAGTTTTCTTTGTTTTCTTGTAAGTTTCCTTGTTCTCCTCATTTTTACTCTTTTTTATTCTCACAACTCTTATCTTTTTCTCTTACTTACTCTTATCATTAAAACTACTTATCATAATAAATTATATATTTAATTAATTAAAAAATATCAAATATATATGAATTAAATGTATTTTTTATTTAGTAATTTAATCTAATTATAATTATACTAAGTTATGAAAATCGGTCACGAGACAATTTGAAAAAACATTTATTAAAAAATTACTTTAAAATAAATATTTAATTTATTTTTAATAATTATATCTTAAATTGTTATATCTCAAATTTATAATAATTTTTTTAAATATAATATATTAAATTATAATATTTTTTATAATTTAAATATTTTTATTTTTTAAAAATAATAAAATACTCATTTTATCAAATTTTAATTTTAATATAGTATTTTTAATTGAGTGAATAAGATAATAAGAGAAGAACAAAAGAGAGAGAAAAGGAAAACAAGGATAGAGAAAAAAATATATCAAAAAGTAAACGAAAAGAAAGAAAAGTAGAAAAATAAATGAAAAAAAGAAAAAAATTAATTATATTACATGAGAAAAAATTTATTTTTCATTATTGAATTTTGTATAAAAATACTAAATAGATCTAATTAAAAAAATAATTTTACAGAAATTATATTTAATTATTTTTTGTTTTAATTATATTATTTGAGAAAATAATTTAATTTTATCATTTAAACGAAAAGGGCATTTTTCATTATAAGGGAATAGCTCATAATATATGTCAATTGTTATAATTTTTTAAGGATAAAACAAAAAGTGGAAGAATAAAAAGTTAAGATATGCTTGTTTGATGAAATTCTCCATATGCAATGTAGAATGGATTCAGGCTAACTCCTCCTTGTATTTATTTGAAGACAGAATTATTAAAGAATTGAAGAAGTAGAGGTTCCTTGAATCCACCATTTGAACAAAAAAACATGATTTTGCTTGATATAATGGAAATTTTTATTTTATCTTTTGAATACACCAATGGAGAGATCTTGTATCAATAAATTATTGATATATTCTACGTAATGTCACATTATGGTCCGGAACAATGATAAAATTTATGAGATCAAACTTCTTTAAATTTAATCCAAAGTCCCAATTGAATAATCAATAAAGGTATATTTTAAATAATTTATATAAGTAATTATAATATATATATTAAATCAAATTTAAATAATTAAAATTTAATTATTTGCAATAAATTTTAGAAATCATATTTAAATTCTTATTATTTAATATACCTATTATTTTGTCTAAAAAAATGTTTTGATGTTATATATATTATTATAATGTTTTTAAGATTCAGTATATTGTCTGATTTGTAATTTTAATTTATAATGATTTTATTTTTAAAAATTATTTTAAAGAAAATATATATATATATATATTATTTAATTATTGAATACTTTAATAATTTAACGTTTTAAAATATATTTAATTAATATAATATGCTTGAATATACAGATACAATGATATGCTTGAATTTAGAAAATAATAAGAATTAAATGAAAAAGTTTTAGACTGAAGTGAGACAATTTAAAGTTTAGAGAGATAATTGTTCTTCAAAAATAAAATATGAAATGTAAGAGTTTTCTATTTAAACCATTTTTATGTCAAAGGTAAAAACTTCAAACATTTATATTTAACCATTGATTCTCTTTAAAATACTAAAACCTTGGCTAGTCTTTACATATCTCACTCAATTATAAGTAAGAATGGGATGAGTAGGGGTGTTAAAATAGACTTAATATAATATATAAGGCTGAAAGGCTCATTTAATAGGTTAGTTTATACTTAAAAAATTTGTGGTCTAAATTAAATTAGACATATTTAACATCCATTTAAGTGACCTACATGAATTTAGATAAGGTTAGCTCATAAGGTTATGGGTCAACTTATTATATAGAATAATAATAATTTTTTAAATAAAAATAATAGTAATATTATTTTATTAATATATATATATATATATATATATATTATAAATTAATTTGATAAAAGATTCGTTTATTCTAAGTGTACATACAAAAGGAAGCATCTACCATCTACTTGTTTGTTCTATGATCTAATTATTTGGATGAATTTTTATTTTAGATTAATAAATCACTAAAAAAATAAATAATGATAATAAAAAATAATTTTTTAACTCTTATTTTTGGAATAAATATTTCTATTCTCTTATAATTTATATATTAAATTATTATATTTAAAAAAATCTTAATATAATTTAAATTTTTAAAAAAATATATATTTTTAATTAATTATTTTTATATAGATCTATTATTATTTTTTTTATATTTTCAATTAGGTCAAAATTGATTCCTTATCCCGTTAATATTATATAGAATCAAATTAGGTTAAAAATTATGATTTGTTTAAAAATATAAGTTAGATTAGAGTATAATGAATTGCACCACCTATTTTAACAATTTTAAGATGGGACCATAAGATTTATGGCAACTATACTTTCCGAAGTTTCTATGTTTTTATTATTATTATTCATTTATATTAAAACCTTTTATGTCATGAACTTCGACTTTTAATTCAATTCATTTTGTTGTTATATACAATTTAATATTTTAAAAATGTTTTGACACAAGCATATTAGATATTGGGATGCATGTGGCTTCTTAAAAAAAACTTTTTAATTTTATATTATCTATTAGATTAATATCTATTTAAAATTATAAGTCACCTCCTATATATATTTATTATATAGGTTATTATTTTAAAGAACTTAAAAACTTTTTATTATTATTATTATTATTATTATTTGTTGCGAGATCAACACATCAATTAGAATAATTCAATTATGATAATATTTAATGATAATTAGTTTTATTTCGTTATTTATGCACAATTATGTACAACATTTATAGGAAGAATATTTCCCTAATTTCGAGGGATAAATTAGTGTATAGATTTATTAGAGCTCAATCTGGATCATCCGTAACCTAACACAACCAACCATAGAAGAGAACAAGGCAGGAGGTTCGGGCACCAGTTTGGTCGAAGGACCTTCTCTTCCTATCACCAGTCACAAATTAAATGGCCAAAATTATTTTCCATGGGTGCGTTCAGTTAAAATATTCCTTCAAAAAAGGGAAGGAAGGTTACATCACCGGATACTCCAAGTGTCCAGTAGAGGCTGACCCTAACCTCAACAAATGTCAACTAGAAAACAGTTTGGTCATGTCATAGTTACTTAACATCATGACCAATGAAATTGGAGAGAATTTCATGTACTATGCATTGCTAAGGAGATGTGGAATGCATTGAAGAAAACCTACTCAAATATGGATAATATGTCAGCGTTATTTAATATCAAGAGCATACTTCATGAACTACGACAATGTGATTTCTCAGTCACTGAGTATTTTAATACACTCAGTCGACATTGACAACAACTAGACATATATGAAGACGTTCAATGGAGTTGTGTCGAGGATAAAAACAAGTATAAAGAGTTGGTGGAGAAAGATAGGCTATACAAGTTCCTATTGGGGCTGAACATAGAACTTGAAGTTCGAGGGAGAATCCTTGGAACCAAACCTCTTAAAACAATCCGAGAAGTATTTTCGGAAGTGATAAGGGAGGAAAGTAATGCTTGGAAAGTCAAGTGCAGCCCCACCCATTGAAGGCACAACAATGGCAACAAGAGAGGACCAATCTCATCCATCTAAAAAGAAAATTTGACCATGGTGCGACCACT